GGTCTGGTCCTGGTTCTGACCACTGAGTACAAATTGAGAAGAACCAGAGCTGAGAACCGACTTTGATGACAGAGGTTTGTTCTGTTCTGTTAGGTCTTCTTCCTCTCTGGACCTCACTTGACAACCACACACAACATCAAACGCCCTCCCCTGCCCCCTGCTGGTCATGCTGGACTCAGATTGGGCCTCAGCGTTCCACATGTGTGTCTTCCTATGGATGCTGTTTTATTGGGAACAAATGAGTTCTTTTTTCCTGGCAGAGACGTGAACAGTTCCAGGTCCAGTTGATGATTTTTTTTTTCAGAGACCCATGAAGACCAACCAACACTTTTTGGTGGTCCTGTTAAAGAACCCGGTCAGGTTCATGGACACAGGCTGAGAGTCTGTTCACTGTGAGCTCAGCCTCTGGAGTTGCAGCAGGAAAATAAATAAATAAAACCACACAAACATGAGATTGCAGATTGATAACTCCTGCTAAAGTACTTGTTACCATTCTTCCGGGTCCTTTTTCAGATCTGATTTTGGAGCAGACAGTCTTTTGTGTCTCAGAAGAAACGGACGGAGACATGAAGTGGACCGGACCTGAACCAAGGCTACAGCAGAACCTCCATGGTCCTCAGACCTTATTAGACCATCAGGGACGAATGGGCCCTGATCTGTTCTCCTCACACACTGACGGAGGGTTGAACCAACTGACTATGACGACTGTCCACATCTGGTACAGACTGCTGCAGACTGGTTTCAACTGGGAGTCATGGGTAAAATCTGGCAAAATAATCTTGTTCTCAGCGTAAGAATCTTTACCAAACTGGACCGGACCAGTCTGTGTTTGAACCAGCACCACGTTCTGTGACTCTTCTGTGGACACTGTGGAAAGATTCTTGGAACAGAACTTTTCTGAACCGATGTTCTAGTGAATATGAGAGACGGCTCTGTTGTCGATCCAAACCAGAACATTCAGATCAGAATCAGCTCTGTTCTAGAAACTCTGAGACAGATCTGTGACATCATCACTGACACCACGGAGAAGACTTTCAATCAGAAGCTCAGGTTGTTCCTCTGAAGTGTGCAGCCAATCACACAGATCCAAATCCGTGTGTCTGAACCAATCTGATTGACACCCAGATGATCTTTCACCATGGTCCTGGTCCACATCAGCAGACCCCGCCCCACCCTCTGTGAACCCACTCCTCAGCTCTTGTGACAACACCTCAGTGTGTTATGTAACAACAACTGGACCACCTCCTCCTTGTTTTCACACAATAAAAAACCTCACGCCCTGGTGTGGCAGAGTCACACTGACCTGATGACGTTTGGTCTCCCGTTTCCGTCGACCCAGATCTGAGGGAGTCTCTTCAGACCCAGAGAGAAGAAAAGGTTTTCCAACTCTGAAACCTGAGTGAAGCTGAGAGAACAAAGAGGAGCAGAGCCAATGTGAGTGAAGGTCTCAGAGGAGTTTAAGGCTGGAACAATGGAGGGAAGAACCAGGACTCACAGCAAAAACTGAAGGATTAGAAAGAACAAAACAGTCCACGCAGAACCATCATTTCAATCTCTGTCTGGTCCTGCTGTTGGTGAACATCTGCTGAAGACTCCATACATCAGTTCTTCTGCTCTGTGAAAAGAGTTACATCAAGTTAGCTGTGTCTCCAGATCCCGTTCTTAAGTACCTGAACCGTCAGCCAAACGTCGTAGTCCAAAGCAACAGTTCTAGAAAATAGCTCCGTTTGTGGATTAAGAATAATAATAAAAAAATACAGACACACATTCTTCATCAATCAGGAAGCTGTCTGCTGCAGACTCCGCCCACATAGTTCATGTACTTTAGGTTAGTTATTCTTCAGTTGAAAGCTCACAGACCAAACTCCAAAGAGAAAAGCAGTGATTTTAGCTCAGACACTCGTGGTTGGTAGAGCGTCGGACGATCTCTGTGAAGAACCAGAAGCAGCCGCACCCGGTACACAACATCGGACAGTTTTTCAAGATCTGCGGAGGGCCCCATCTGGTAGTTCAAACGGTGCCCCGGCCCTGTACTGCTGCAGGAGGTCATGTCAGTGTCTTTTTGGGCCCTTCATCGTGCACATCGCTCTGATGACTACTGGTTTTCACATTATTAGCAGTTTCCCAGCATCACCAAAGGCACAACACCTGTAGAAACGTTGAAAGCGCCAACTCTGGAACTGTTGTACAGCACATTTCAGTTCTGATACATCTGAACGAGAACATGGAAAAGAATGTACACAACGTTTGTACACGTGGCCCCAGGCTTTTTGGAGGTCAAAGGTGCCTGAAGGCCGGTTAATGAGGCGTCACCACCAAAGCACTGATGCAGTTACTGATTTCTGAGTGAAAAACGTCCAACACTGAAGTCAGACATTTGAACACTACATGTGATGGAGGCAGCAGTCGAACAAACAGCTCATGAACTCACCTTTCCTTTCTGGTGCTGTTGAAAGTTATAGTCATGAAAACAGGGGCTGATGACAGACCTGCATGGAGTCTGTATTCTGACAACACACTCATTTACAGTCTGTGTGTGTGTGTGTGTGTGTGTGTGTGTGTGTGTGATGGGAGGTGTCACTCTCACCTCTGTCAGAGTTACAGGTGAAATCGCCTGGCGACGTCTCAGCCTCTCAGCTCAGACACATTTGTTCCTGCAACACATTTCATTTTCAACAGCAAAGGTAAGAACTCAACATGAGAACTGTTTTTAAAACAAATTCAAATCTGAAGTGAACTTTAAAACAAACTGTACCACTGTAAACAGATGGAGGATAAATAAAACCAGCATTTATGGAATGTACTACACAGGACTCTAACAAAGTCACCAGAATATGTTTACATTTTTAAAATAGTTTAAGTATTTAAAAGTTTTAACATAAAAACAAATGGAAAAAAGTTCTAGGCAGTAGACAGTATTGTAAAATAAATGTGTAAATATTTGTTTTCACCTTTGAGCAAAACATTTAAAAAATGTTGTCAAATGTAATAGACTTTAGGAAAAGAAAAAAACATTTGCCTTAAATTAGCTGTTTGTTTTGGCTAAATAAAGGCATTTGAATTCAACAATCCAAAATCCTCCTGGTCTCATCAAGAACAAACTCTCTCTAAATGTCAGCTGACTTTTAAAATGTTTACATAATCAATAACATCAAAGAAATAAAAACGGAAGGAAACATTTTTATGTGTTAAATTTGAGCTTGTTTTATTTCTTTGTGTCAAGTGAAGTAAACCCAGGGGACAGGATCTGAGTGTGTGTGTGTGTGTGTTGTGTACAGTGTTGTCCCAGTGATCACAGCTCTTTGTGTTAAATTCATCTTTTCTTCCTCATGAAGAACCAGACTGTTGACTGTTGTTGTTGGAGTCAGAGGTGAAAACAGAAGAACAATCAGAAACCTGAGCCACAGGTCAAACTGAAACACACACACACACACTGATACAGAGGCAGACTCCAAGACTTTCACTGTGACTAAAAGAGAAAATAAAAAACATTGTGAAACAAGCCATTAATGGATATGAGTTTATACTTCAGTCGTTAACACTGTTGTGTCAAATACGACCGGGCAGATTTTCAGAAATGGTTTAAACATTTATTGTAAATTTTTTTTGCTGCATTTTTGAGATCTGCTGTTTGTTGGAGGAATAGTTTTTGACTCTTGGAAACACGTCATAAACGTGGGTCAGTGAACAGCAGAGGAGACGTCAGAACAGGCTGCTCTGTCAATGTTTGACCTCCGACACAGTCAAGAACAAGAACAAGATGGACATTAAACATTAACGTTCTGAACACTCTGCTGCTGCTGTTACTGCTGCTGTTACAGTTACTGTTACTGCTGCTGTT